TTATTTATACATCATTAATAAAAATTTAAAAAAGATATTTTTAATTCATTATGTATTAAAAATTTAAATAGGAATGAAATATTCCTTTTTATATATTATGTTATATAAAAAATATTATGAATAATATATATCATGAATATTGTTATTTTATAGGAAATATGCATTATGATGATCATTGTAGAGTATGTCATCGTCTAGGAGATTTATTATGTTGTGAAACCTGTCCTGCAGTGTTCCACTTAGAATGTGTTGAACCTCCATTGGTTGATGTTCCTACAGAAGACTGGCAGTGTAGCACATGCAAAGCTCACAAAGTTACAGGGGTTGCTGATTGTATACCTGATGTTGAAAAGAATGGCTCACTATGTCGTCAAGAGCATTTAGGATTTGATAGACATGGCAGAAAATATTGGTTTCTTGTAAGAAGGATTTTTGTGTAAGTATGCTATAACAAAGTAAGAATTTTCCATATAATACACTTCATTAGACATTAAAAATGTGAAATTATTTTAATAAAATTGTTTATTGTAGTGAGAGTGAAGATGGTGAAGTTTGGTATTACAGTACAGGTTTACAATTAGAAGAACTATTACTATGTTTAGATCGTAATGAAATGGAAGTTGCACTTTATAGAGAATTATCAGACTACAAAGATGAAATTGTAAGACAAATGGAGCTTACAGAACAAATTACCAATCAATACAAGGGTAATAAAAAGTCATATCTAGAAGTAGAGAATAGTAAGTTTCATTACAATTCTTTATATTTTAAAAAATAGTATGTAATATTTGTATCTAATAATTCTTGTTCTGTAGGTCTCATACAGAAATTACAAAAAGAACGTCAAGAGAAACAAGAAAAAGAAGAAGAAGAAAAAAAAGAAAAACAAAGACAAGAAGCTGAAGAAATGGTTCGCAGAATACACGAGGGTACTGATTCTCTTGAAGAACAGTTAGCAGCTGTTACTGAGCAACAGGAAACAAAATCATCTGAAGAGTCAAATACAAAGGAAAATACTCAAAAAATAGTTACAGAAAATGTGGAAATAGATGGTGTAGATACTAATTTAACAGATAGAGTAAATAAAGATATCAAAGCTGGTACATCAACATCATCATCTGAAGAAATTGATGAAGACATACTAGAAGGAGAAGAGGGTATCTCAAAAATTGGTAAAGATGGTAAGTTACACAGTTGTTAATTTGAACTGAATACAATAATGAATTTAGTAATAAAAAATCATTATTATATTTATAGGAAAGAAACATACTATTGTAACAAGGTCAAAAACAGGATCTTTACAACCTAGAACATTTAATATGGATGATCTAAAGAAGCGTAGTACTGGACAATTATCAAAAGAAGAGTTAGAAAAATTAGATAAAGGATTGAAAGAGGAAGGAGATGGTACCAGATTAACGAGACAGAAAGCTCATCAAATAGCTTCTGGTACACATCTTTTTAAATTAGGAATGGATAACAACTTTAAATCATATGTGAATCAGTACAGTACTAATCCCATTGCTTTAAATAAGGCCCAACGCAATGAAGAACGCGATAAAAAAAGACATCTATCACACAAATTTTCACTTACCCAGGCTTCTGAATTTAAGTGGGTAGGAAGTCTAACAGGAACACGTGCTCTTTTAGTAAGCACACTTCGTCAGACAATTCTTCAACTTGAAAGTAGTATTCAATCATCATTTATGCATACTAATTGGCCTCTTTTACGTAAACCTTGGACAACAGCAGTAGGTGCTTGTGTTAATCCAAGAGATTTTGCACGTGCTCTTATTGTATTACAAGCATGTATTAAATCAGTAGTGTTTGCTAGTGTATGGCATGATCAACTTGGACACGTGAAATTACAAAGAGTAACGGCCCTTGAACGAGAAGAAAAAAAGCGTCAAGATAAAAAAGATAAGAAAGAAAGAGAAGATGAAGAAGAACGTAATCGTTTATTTAACTTCGTTAAATATACATTAGGCTTAAAACATCAAGTCTGGAAACAGAAAGGAGAAGAATATCGAGTACATGGTCAAGGTGGTTGGTTGTGGGTATCTGCTAGCCGCCGCTACAGGTGTTCTGATATGTCAAAGCTAGGTCTTCGAATAGGTCCACAAAAAATTATGGTACAAATTAAAGATCAAGAAGGATTAAAAATACTAGCTTTAGATCCTCCTACATATGATTTTTTGGTAAAGGAATATTGTTCCTCTAAAAAACAAGAAAATAATATGAATGTTAAAATAAAAGAAGAAATTAAAGAGGAAGAATTATCAAAGGATACGTCAATTGATACGTGTATAAAACAAGAATGCAAAGAAGAAGATATAAAAACAGAACCAATTGAAGATAAACAAAATAAGACAGAAATAGATACAAAAATAGAAGAGACTACAATGTCGAAAACGGAGTCAAAACCAATCAAGCAGGAAACAAAAATGCACTTATCATTTTTGGCTGGAATGAAAATCGAGAAGGTTTATACACCTATTAAAGAATTTGAAGAAATTGATATTACTAAGGCTCTAACGACTAGTGGAAGGCTACATTATCCAAAAATTGCTAAGAAGACTAGAATTGATGATTTCTTAGCTCGTAGAACACATTTAAAACTTTTGGAAGAAAGAAGATTACTACAAACTGAGAAATCGAAAGAGCAATCAAATCAATCAACAAATCAAAAAGTAGATGGAGATTCCGAAATTGATATAGAAAATAACGAAGAAAGTGATACTGATGGAGGTGATAATTCTTTACAAAGTATTCTTACTGGAAAGCAGCCTAAGACTATGTCCACATCAGCTAGAGAAATGCTGACTGTGATAGGAAAACGTATTCAACATGTTAAAGCTCAATATACAAACATAATGAGATTTAGCAAAAATAGTAGTTGTTATTCGCGATACTGTAATATGACAGCACCTCCGGGAAAGATAACAACTACAACACAAAGTTTAACGTCTTCTTGTTACTCTCCTATATGTCTTCAAAAAGCAAGATTAAAACTTGATCTTATTGCATTATTGAGAAAAGCTAATGCTTTAAATAATAATCAATCGACATCAAATTTATCAATTGGATCAACGACGATACAATTATCACAAGCAAGTTCAAAGTCAGAAGGAAACGACGAAGCTAAAGATGCAATCAGAAAGGACTTAGAATCTGCTGTAGCATCAGCAACACATTGTACTGAAGAAACACCAGCTACTAATGTAGTAAAAGATGTTTCACCGCCTATTAAAAAGATAAAAATTGAATCTAACACAGTAAGTTACAAAATTATATTAATATATTTTATGTGTTTGTATATTTGAATAATTTTATATAGTTTAGTTTTAACAAAAGGGTAAGATTGTCCATTATTTGTAAGATATGAGAAAGAATTCTTTTGTAGAATGCTGATAATGATGCAAGTACAGAACATAGTGCAGTAACTTCTACAACAAATAATGTAGTTACTACTACGACAGTAACTACAACACATCAGACTATAAAAACAGTTGATGGCGTCGTGCAAAGTATGCAAGAAAGTACAAATTCTCAAAATTCAATTGCGTTTTCATCCGAAGTTAAAACAAGGTAATGTATCTTTAAGGATATTTTATTGGTTTTTATACAAGTTGTTAAAATTATATTTTGTTTTTATATTTTTAACGATATCAACAGTGTAGGACAATCTTCAGCTGAAGGAAAAGTTTATTTGAAAAAAGTTGCAATTTCTCTTGCTGATAGAAAAAAGAAGCGTACTCCCGTTAAATATCCCTTATGTTCTACATTTTCTACAAAAAATAAACATCGTAGTATATTGTTACTTCCACAACATGAATTACGTAAATTGGCTAGACTTGGTGGAAGAATACAAGTTCAAGGTTTTCATCATATAGCTAAGGTATTTCTTTAGTAAAATTTGCATTAATAACAATAAAATATAATATAAATATCAGTTAAATTTAATTTATTTGTTATAAATTTAGGCAAATATGTCAGTATGGCCATACCCTTGCCCTAGACCATTATTTAAAACTTGCTGGTTATACAGAACAGTTGGTATAAAATCATTGACAGCAGCAGCTCTTCAATTAAGAATATTATGGGCTTGTCTCCGTTGGGATGATATGGCTGCAAAACCGTTATCTACAGATGGCAAACATCAAATTACAACTGACACTGAAATTATGTCATTGGAAATTCTTAAACATCGTCACGTTGGTCAGTTTTTAGATAAAACACAGTATTTACGTAGAAAAGTTGTTATACCTTTGGAACTTCCAAAACAAGTTAGAGGTTCGTATTAATAAATACATTGTAAGAAGTAAATAGAATATAATTATAATTATATTTTGTATTTTATAGAGGTCACATCTATAAGAAGTGGTTTAAGGAAAAGAAAACGACCAGAATCACCACAAAGTACTGAACCACAAGTTACAGAAGAATGGGTAGATGAGGATAAATTGGAATTGTGGGAAATTAAACAGTATGGTGATAGGTATGTTTATAAATAAATGTTATTTTATATATTTAAATGTTTAAATCAAATCAAATTCATACAATTAAATTTCTTTTAATTTACTGAAATGTTGGTACTTTTTAACAATTTTTGTAGAATTAGAATATTAATTGTGTTAAATACCTAGTGTTTTTACCTTGTAACATCACTCAAATACTGACCTATCCTTATTTAACACCATTTGATACTAACCCTCCGCTTGGTGTGTGTCCTATCCAGGTTAGAGAAGGCTAATGCCCAGATTATTACTAGGAGTCGATCGGGACAACCACAATCCACAGTAGGTTCTAACCGAAATGCAGGCTCAAATTCTGGTATGAGCGATCAACTAGTTAGTGGTAAAGCAACACCTGAAGAAATTAAAGAAAAGATGGAGCAACAGTTACGTATGCAACGAGCTGCTCATCAACAAAAAAGAGCACTGGAAACCCTAAAAAGTCCAGCTAATTCTGGTTCACCTACACAAGTTGTAAAAGTTACAACTAACTCCACTCATGGTAAGACTTAAATTTGTATTGAATTATATAATATATTGTCTAACTAATTATATAGGATAACAATATCAATCTTTTACCACAGATGGCACAGTTAAATTAGTTTCCAAAGTTGCAATACCAGCAAATCCAAACAGTGGAACAAAATCACAGTTAACTTCCCTTTTGACGACACCTGCACAGAATAAACCTTTTATTAGTACAAAACGTATTTATATGACGAAATGTAGGTATCAAGCTATATGAATATTAACCCTTTGCACTCCTTTTGTCGAATGTGACTCGACATCAGTTTTTATCACAGGAACTCATATTGAGTTACACTCGATATTTTTTGATTTTTTGTTTCCTGAACAAGAAAACGGAAAATAAGTAAGAAAAATAATTCGGTGTGCAAAGGGTTAAGTTAACTATACATATGATATAAATATTTGATATTTATATATATGCATAATATTTTCTTTAAAATAGCATCCCTTGGAACAACAAAAGTTGTTTCTGGGCCTGCGAGCATATTACCGAAGACACAAGCTGGAAATCAACAATCTCTGATTAAAGTTTCTAGTCAAGCAGGTATATTCATAATATTAATTATATTCTATGAAAGCAACAACAATTTATAATAATTTATTTTAATTAAATGTATATTTATAGCACCTGTACAGCAGATTCAGCAAAAAGTGCAGATTATAAGAGGTCCAGATGGAAAACTTCAAGTCCGAGGTTTGATGCCTGGTCAACAGTTAGTTCAAATGCCCGATGGGAAACTTCACGTGTTAAATAATAGTCAAACAATTACTACCCTTACACAAAGTGGTGGAACAAGTACACAGGTAAAATTATTGGTAGAGTATATATATTTTTTTAAATAGTATATTACAATAAAATATCACAATCAAAAATAATTAATTATTAATGTATAATATTCTCTTTTTTGAAGGCAAAAACAGCTACTGCAACAGCTGCAGTTAAAGCAGGTACAACAGCTAATTGTACTACTAAGACCAGTCCATCTAAAACAGCAACAAATGCAACACAACAAATACAAGTTGCTCAGCAATCACAAACTCAGTCTCAGCAAGCAATTCAACGTTCATCAACAAATACTGTAACTATTGCCACTACATCAGTACAACCAACAAAGAATGCTATTGTAGTAGCCAATACAGGACAAATTGTACAAGGTGCACAAGTATGTGTAAATAGTTGTTTCTATAAAATACTAATTACATAATAAATAATTACATTTATTTTAATGAAATGTACATAATAATGTTATATTAATTAATGACATAGGTCATATCTTCTGGTGGACAAGTCATTAGTGGAAATCAAATTGTGGTCACTAATGCTAATTTAGCACAGCAGCTTGCATCAGGCAAAGCTCAATTAACGACAATCGGTGGTCATCAAGTAGTTATTCGTAGTACTCCAACAGGCAATCAAATAGTTCATTTAAATTCAACAAATAGTGGTATTATTGTAAAAAATACTGTAACACAGAATAAACAAGGTATGTAAGAATCGTATAAAAAACAATTACTTCAATTATAAAATCGAAAATAAAATTGTCTAAATAAAATAAATATTTAAAATGTTTTAGTTCCTGTATTACAATCTACTCAATCAACAACTACTACAACAGGAGCACAATCAACTGATACAACAAATAATATTGGTAGTAATACATCGACGAATGTGACATCGACTACTACTACAGCTACAACAAATCAAACCTCTAATGCTCCAGCACCTGGAAGTGTAGAAGCATCTTTATTAGCTGGTCAGCCACCTGGAACTGTTATTAAATGCGTTACTGCTCAAGTTATACAAACTACACAAGGTCCTCGTATAGTTTTACAAGGGTTACAAGGTGCAGATTTTACTCCACAACAACTTGTAATGGTACAACAGCAGGTTAAACAACAGCTGCTTAAAGGTTCGATATTGCATATGTCATATATATATGTAACACTATTTTTGTGCGTGTGTGTGCACGCGCGCGCGTGCATATACATATGTGTACGTATGTGTATATATTTATAGCTCAAGCCACAACAGGAAAACAAGGAGTTTTGGGACCTACCAAAATTTATTTAGCTGTTCAACCCGCACCTAGTAGTCAACAATCAATTCAAAGTTCTACTACAGCAAATACTCCTGCTTCACCAGCAACAAAACCACAAACTGCACAACAACCAGTTGTTTCACCACCAGCAGCAACTGGTTTGTATTTTTGTATCATATTGGTTGAATTAAATTTTAGATATTACTACTATTATTTTAATTTGAACAGAACCTCAAACGGGAACTGAAAGCATTCCAGAGCTTCCATCTACAGCAACATCAAGTTCTCCTGAAAAACCGAAAGTAGTTGTTCAACAAGTTGCACAACCTAGTGTCACTACAGAAGAGGAATCACAAAAAACAAATGTAGCTAATGGTCAGCAACCTTTGCAATCTTTAAAAGAAGGAAACGATTCCTCGGCTAACAAATTTATTTTAACGCCTGATTACATACAACAAAGTTAGTTGTTAATTAATATTATCTTTACTGCTTAATATCTATGGGATTAGAAATATTTGAATATTCTTACTTTTATTTCATATATTCTAATGAGTAATATAAAAATCTTCAGCCATCAAGAATGCATTGAAACAAGAAAACCTTAATCCCGAAATAGAAGAAAAGCTGTTGCAACTACAACGGTATCAAGAGAAACAGATGAAAGGTGGTGTTGAAAATTCAGCAACCAATAATCAAACTCATACTACGCCTACAATTACAACTCCACGTGTCCCATCCCGTAAAAGACCGGCACCTTCTAACATTCCAACAACAACATCATCTACAAATGTACAATCAACAGCAAACAATAAAGATACAGATTGGGCAGAAACACCTAGAAAGAAACTCGCATTAAAGCAAGAAAATCGTGAAATTCCGAAGTAAGTTTCATATTTTTAAATAGGTTTCAGACAATGAAGACAGTTCTCAATATATTTTAAATTTTGTTTAATAATGTTATTTGTTTTTTAGAGTACAAAAAGTTGAACCGACAGAAAATGAATCAACACCACAAAAACGAACAGCAAAGCTAAAAGACAGTCAAGAACAACGGAGAAAGCAACAGGTACATTCTCGAATGCAAGTTCTGTTATTTAGACATAAAGAATTACTTAAAAAGGATATTTTAAAGAAGAGAGCACTGTTGGAAAAAGAATTACAAATAGACATACAGGTATATCGCATTATTATTTTTAACATACGTTATATAAATTATATACATTTTTATAAATATTTTCCTATTATTTCTTGTTAAAATTATAGAAGGATTTATCCGCCGAATTAGCCTCTAGAACAAAAGCAGAAAGACACAAACAAGATGAAGTAAAAGTGGGTAGTGCAAAGCGTAAAGCAAACGCTCAAGTGGCTCAACAAGTTAGTCCGCCTAATAGAGGTGGAAGGCCAAAAAAATATAAAGCTCAAGGAAGTAATACTACACCACCAGGTGCTTCAACTGCAGCTACTACGAATAGAATCAAAAAAGAGAAGTTATATTGTTTATGTAGAACACCATATGATGCAACAAAGTAAGTATTTAAAAATGCCTTTCTTTCAGAATATTTATTTAATGATTATAAATTATTTTCTCAAATTAGATTTTACGTGGGGTGCGATCTTTGTAACAATTGGTTTCACGGAGATTGCGTTGGAATTACAGAAAAAATGTGTAAAACTCTTTCAGAGTTCGTTTGTACAGAATGTAGACATGCGAGAGATACACAAGAATTATATTGTCTATGCAAACAGCCTTATGACGAATCTCAGTACGTAATAATGTTAATTTAATTGCTAGTTATATTGATTTATCTTTTTATCAATATTTATAAATATTTTATTTTTACAGATTTTATATTTGCTGCGATAAATGTCAAGACTGGTTTCATGGTCGATGCGTGGGTATTCTACAATCAGAAGCAGACAATATCGATGAATATGTTTGTCCGAATTGTCAACGAAATTCGTCTGTTAATTTCGCTAATATGAAAAATCTTAATGCAAAAGATCTTGATCTCCTAAAGAAATTAATTAAGCAAATACAGGTAAAATAGTTACAAATATTGACAAAAATTTAGCATTATAAATTTAATTATTAACATAAAAAATTTAAATATTTAGGCACATAAAAGTGCTTGGCCGTTTATGGAACCAGTAGATCCAAATGAAGCACCAGACTACTATAAAGTTATAAAGGAGCCAATGGGTAAGTGTTAAATAAGATACTTAGCATAATAATATTGCTTAATTTATGCTTAATTTGAAACTCATTATTTGGATTCAAAAATGATAAAAATTTCCTTTAGCTTAATATTACTTCTAGTAATTGTGTTTTCAGATCTGCAAACGATAGAATTGAGGATAAATGATAGATCCTATAAGAAGCTAAGTGAATTTATTGGCGACATGACAAAAATATTTGACAATTGTCGTTATTATAACCCAAAAGAATCACCTTTCTTTAAATGTGCAGAATCCTTAGAAACTTATTTTGTTCATAAGATTAAGAGTTTGAGAGAAAAGTTCTCTGAAGGAAAGTAAGCTATTGAACAGTAGAAAAGAAAAAACGAAAAAACTGTAACTATAAACGTGTGGAAGTGCTAAGCATCGACGGTTTAATTTGTGTAACGACAGAAATAATCTGTGCCAGTAGAAGAGACATTCGAAGTAGCCATAAGTATATAGGAATAGGACGTATAAGTTCACTATTTATTAGGATTGTGTGAACATTTTGATTTGCCTTTACAGAAGCGAACTTTATTTGAATCGTGTCGTACAGTGAATTTTGAACCAGAACTTGTAACATTTTGGCCTTAAAACATATACAGTGACGCTAACAGATATTTAACTAAGAAATAATGTGAAAGCAACTTTCTTTATTAGTTCAAAAGCATTATTTATTATAAGGCGATAAATTATATTTAAATTTGCAATAACACTATATATTATTAGTAATAACCGTTTCTACTGTTTAGTTCTATATGACAATAAACTTTTAGATTCTTAAATATGTAATACTTGTACACACTTTTTTTTAACAAAATGAAACCAAAAATATTTGATGTAAAGATATTAGAAAAATATTAATTGAAATGCATAGAACCAGAAAATTTAATAAGTATAATACAAAATTAAATAATATATATTCCATAAAATGTGCAATATATGTTTGTTTATTATATTTTGTCTATGAAAAAAAAAAAATTAAAAAATAAGTTTTTGTAGAAGATAATAATAAGTTATGGTTCAGAATTCATACGTTCCTCACAAGTATCATTATTTATGTACATCTATCAAATATGTGTAATTATGCATGTTACAAAAATAATTATAAATATATCAAATCAGTGCCACTGAGCGTTTAGAATGATGAATTTTTAGTAATCCAATGCAATGTATTTTGCAAAATCATAAAAAGTGAAAAAGAAAAAATGAAAAATCATTCAAAAATTCACTACCATTGAAGAGGAAAATGGTCCAATCGCTATCGTGTTTCATTTAATAAGAAGTGAAACAAATTTTCTCTCAATGTAGACATAAGAATTATTTAGCAAGCGCATAATAAATTGTACAAATTTGTTTATTGTGCTCACAAGCAATTATTATTATGTTGTTTTATCACATAAATTTTCTATAAAATTGTTTATAAGTAACATATACGATGTTAGTTCATAAGAAGCAAGCGGATATATCTGCTTTGTATATATCCAAGTAGAATTGTCTATAAAAATAGACTATAGATTCTTGGTTGTCATATGATGAAAATATAAAGAAAAGAAGTCATTTAAACGCAAGAAACTAAATTTGATGAAAATATTGTTTATATTTTAGCTATTAACTACCATATGTGAAAATTATTAAACTATACTACATTGTATATGTACGTTCAGTTTCTGTATTCTTACAGGATATGAAAAGGCAATATTATTTCATGAACATCTAACGAATACATATATATAAATAAATATATATATACATATGTGTGTATATAAATATATATATATACACATGCATACATACATATTCATATGGAAGAAAGCAACAAAACGGCACTTCTAATGTTTCACTAGTAAAATACAAGAGTGAAAGTACGTAGTAAATATCTGACTCTTAAATATCGGAGAATTTGAAAATTTTTATGAAATTAAACTGTTCGCAGATTTATTTTATGAAGGTTTAAAAAATATTTCTATAGGAAATCTGTTCTCTGACATTAAGAACTGTGGTTTCGTGTATGTACATTAATATGTATGTTTCACGAGTTCAAGATGCGTCTTGACGATCGTCAATCATTTGTTTAAGTGAAAAAAAGCAGATCGCTCAAAGCAGGTTGTACATTTTTGCCAGGATGATGCTTGTACAGTATTTTTAATTGAAAGTTCACAAAACCTGGCATTGATCTGTTTTTTACCTTCAACTTTCGATTATAGTTATACAATACATATAGTTCGTTACTTTGCTCAGATTTATACACCGCATTAGCTTTATCCTAAGTTCGTTCCAACTGGTCATATCATATGCATCTCGTTAATTTATTGAGGCCCTATTTTATTTCTATTGTAATGTACTTCAGAAACGTCTTTTTAAAATATCAGTATATCTATAATTATTAGAATATTATAAATTTCTATTTTTTCCGCTTAATTCTTTGTTGTATCTTATTACCTGCTAGTGTTTTTCAAAATTTGATATTTCTAGATTCGTTTGATACATGTATTGCAAAGAGTTAAGCAAATATTTTAAAAAGAATTTTATTTTGATAAATATGCCTCAGTGGATTTACTCTTTGAAATTTAATGTATCATTAAAATTTTTCCATGCTACCTCAGGATATTATTCATCTCATAAAAACTTCTAAATAAACATTAATAATAAGTATTAATAAGTATTCACAATATATATTAATGCAAACAGAATATTAATTGGAAGAAATGCCCTGTATTAACTTTATTTATTTTTTGAGGCAGATGGAAAATACAAATTATATCTCAAAGAGTGAATCCTTTAATATTTATTACGAATGCACGTGAACTTATAAAATCGTTGAATACTCTTGAAACTTTTAATGCATTAAGTAAACTTAGCCAGAATATAATCATTCTGTCGAGTATTCTTTTCTATAGGAGCGATACTGGAGTAAAAGATTTTTCTGTAAAAAATTGTAGAAATACTTTAAGCATATATTAGGTATTAGTCATGTAAGTTTTTGGCATGCTACTGACGTGTAAAAACTGGGTGAAGAAATTGCAGCCATGTACATTTTGCGCTGCTCTATTTCACTTTGCCCGCTTATTAATCATGTAACGAGGTGTTAATTTCTATTAAGAAAAAAGCAACAAAGTGTGATTACATAACTATATTCATCTAAATCTAATATGAATAGTTTATAATAAATATATTTGTACTAATTTTAATCATAAACTTTGTTGTTTTTATTGCACTATAAATATAAGTTAGAGGAAAGCATAGTATGTTAATTTACCTTTTTTAATTTGTAATTGCTTAAAAAATAATAAACTGCTGTATAACAGTGGCTTCATGAAACTTTAAAAAAGCACATTAATACCGTTTAGTAATTCATTTTTTACTTTATTTGCAAGAAACATATTTTGTATAAAATAATAATATTATAAATAATTTCAGACTGCATTAATACTAATACATAATTACTTTTATTGCCATTTATATAGGTATAAACTTAAGTAGTATTTAAAGTTCAAGTAATACTATATAGGATGTACATTAATAGCTATTTACATTCTTCTGTCATGATTTAAAACAAAAGTAAAAATATGTCATTTATATGAATACATTGAACATTTTTTCATCATTTTTAAAGCTTTCTCTAAAGTTTTTATTTAATATGAGTTAGGAACACGTGTATATATATATAGTAGAATTTCATAAATTCTTTATATTAGTGACAATATTTAATAAATACAGAAATTTCTTGTAATATGTTGTGCAAAAGTATTGTGTATGCTGTTCGAAAGAGTCCAAAACCTCGTCGTAAGTAGAAAGTAACTGTATTGGAGGTTAATACTACATGAATGAAATAATATCATTGCTTTTAATATATTGGATTTGATAAATATTGTATATAGAACTTCATCATGTGCCAAAAGCACCATTACCTGGAGAACCTGCAAAGCCATATACACTTACTGAAATCCCTGGACCAAGGTCAGAGGCACTCCTCAATGAATTTTCTAAAGTTCAGGTTTATATTATTATTGCAAAATATTTATTGTATTTTGTTAAAAAATAAAATACATTATTGTAATACAATTACGAAACATTACAGCAAGTAGGTTCCATTCAATATTTTGCAGACTACCAAAGATCTGTTGGAAATTATTTAGCAGATATTGATGGAAATGTTTTCTTGGATATATTTATGCAACTTTCTACTCTTCCTCTTGGATATAATCATAGATCAATTCTTGGTGCCTTATCTTGTGCAGGAAATCAAGTAATAATTAAAAATTATTATATACATTATGCTTAATTGCAGAGTATAAACATAATAAATTTTTAGCGAATAATAGCAAATAGGCCTGCATTAGGATTATTCCCTGGTTTAGAATGGCCATGTAAAATACAAGATACATTGCTTCAACCATGTGTAAGATATTTTTAATTGATAAATTTAAAAGATATTTTTATTTCTTTTGATAGATTTTGATAATAAATAAATAAAAAGAAAATTTATTAAATATAATATGATACTATTTTATCAGGTAGCTCCAAAAGGATTACCATGTGTCTTTACAGCTATGTGTGGTGCTTGCTCAACTGAACATGCTATACAAATGGCATTCATAAAATATGCAGAAAGACGACGACGAGGCAGTAGTTTTACAAAGGAAGAAAAGAAAAGTGCACCCTTTAATAAACCACCTGGTTGTCCTGAATTATCTATTCTTTCTTTTGAAGGTACCTTAATATACTGTTTTAATGTATTAATATTATAAATTGATGAAATTTATAAAATTAGGAGGATTTCATGGTAGAACATTTGGTGCATTAGCACTAACCCATTATAAATACATAATGAAAATTGATATACCTTCTCTTCCATGGCCAATTGCACCTTTTCCACAGTATCTATATCCATTGGATCAGCACGAAAAAGAAAATAAGGAAGAGGATGAACGGTGCATAGAACAAGTAAATTTAATGTTTATAAATTTTTAATTAATATCATTGTTAAAAATTTATAAATCTGTAAAAAAATATAAAAGGTAGAAGATTTAATAGAACAATATGAAAAGACAATGCCAGTTGCGGGTATCATTGTTGAAGCAATACAATGTGAGGGAGGAGATAGACATGCTTCTCCAGATTTTTTTCAGTCCTTACAAAATATTTGTAAAAGAGTAAATATTAAAAATATTATTTACATTCATGTTTAATTGTTATAAATATTTTAAATTGTAATATGAATATAAATTTCACAGAAATCTATTCCTTTAATTATGGATGAAATACAAACAGGAGGTGGTGCAACAGGAAGAATATGGGCTCATGAATATTTTGAATTAATTATTTCTCCTGATATGGTTACTTTTAGTAATAAAATGCAAACTAGTGGATTTTATCATTCTTTTGAATACATGTAATACTGTTAAACATAATATTTAAATAGAAAATTACATCAATTTATTATAAACATTTGTATTATCCATTTAGGCCAATAAATCCATATAGAGTTTTTAATTCGTGGATGGGTGATCCAAGTCAAATTCTAATATTAGAAGCAGTATTACAAACTATTGAAGCAGAAGATTTATTAACCCATGTTTGTTATGTCGGCAATTATTTGCTTTGTCAACTAAACACATTACAACATGAATTTCCGCACATTATAAATTCCGTACGAGGTAGAGGGTTTATTGTTGCATTTGATCTAGCGTCCAAGGATATGAAAAATAAATTATTATATGAAATACGTAATAAAGGTAATATCGAAATATCCATATACACATTTGAAAAATTGTGTATCTCACTACTGACATAATAAATATCAAATCATTAGGTATTCAAGTTGGTGATTGTGGAATAAAGTCAATTCGATTAAGACCATGCTTAATATTTGGAGAATATCATGCCGATATCTTTTTAGAAATTCTTCGCGACTGTTTGCAAAAACTTGCAGACAGCTGATATATTTGTAAATTATATTTTATTTATTTATTGTATCATATATTTGTTAAATATATTTTTTAATATTAAACTTTTTCTTGTATTATATTATTATGTATATAATAATTATTAAATGTATTATGCATTAATAATAATTTAAGTGTATTTTCTTATCTTTACGTTCAAATAAAATTTAAATGTCGCGGTGCAATCATATTACCGATCAAGGACCAAAAATATCATCTGTATACAAAGATCGATATCAGCATGGCGGTAAAGGAGCGGCTCTATTCAGCGTGATTGGAAATCAAGATTATTATGGCTCAGATTTTACATTACATAACGGGAAAGTGCATTTCCATCGAAGTGCATTTTTCGCGACATTTAGTAGCATCTTGAGCGATCATAAAGATAGATGGGAATACATGATATTAAGTCTGTGTTGTGAGTGGAAAAAAACGAAGAAAAGAGGGTTTGACATTACAACTGACAATCGCAACTGAGGTCTCAAGCCCGGCACGCCGAAGCGTAAACAATCACCATGGCAAAGTATGAAGATATTACGTAATGCTAGCCTTATCTAATTATAGCAGCGTAGAATGTGCATCTTTAATTCAATGATAATGCTTTGTTTACTATGCCACGCTGCAAACTGTATCGCTATTATACTTGATTCAGTAATTAATTTTTCGGCGGCATGTCCCTTTTTAAATCTTTAATTTTTATCAAAGAGAATGCTGATTTTAAGTTGGTGTGAGTTACAAACAATTAAATAGAAAGATTTCGTACTTAATTTGTTAATACACATTTTTATTATATTAATTTATTATAGTATTTTGCATTATTTGTTATACATTTCTTTTATTTTAGATTTACTTTATATTTATTAAAAAATTATTTATAATATTATATGTACATACATATGTATGTGTGCATGCGTATATACATTTATAACTAACTAATTTATTTACCTTTTGCCTAGTATAAAAGTTATGTAAATAAAATGCTATGTAAATTACATTTTTATATTTGTGATGCACAACACATATATAGGAATATTCTTTTTAATTTTAAAGTATATCACAAAATTCATATTCCTTCATATTATTTCAAAATAAAATACATTTTACTGATTTCAAAATTTTTACATACTTCTGAACAATGTACATAACTTATATAAATAAGAATAAATTATAATTTTTAGCAATTATAAATTTTGTTAAAGTAAAATTTTCCTTGTTCATTTCATTTTGTGTATTATTTTATCTTAAACAATTTATATGCAAAACCATTAGATTCATCAAAGTTGAGAATGCATTCATCATTTATTCATTACTTCAAGAACTTTATTTAGCTATTAGCACCAAAGAAACTGGAAAAACCTGTTTAATTTTTTAACCATGACTCAATTGTAACAGTGCAATGAGAACTTATATCCAATGTACTATTGTATATAACAATGCTTTCAAAATATGTGTTCTAAACTGTAATCTTATCTTCTTTATTTTGTTATCGGTTACTGGTGCAGCTAATCAGTAATTCTCTGTTCACAATTGTTTACTTCAAAGACTCGTTCAGTATATCAGACTCAAAGCAAATTACAAACATTAATATTATGTCTATCATTTTGTAAAAATGAAAGTTGATAGATTTTTACAATTGTATATAGAACACTTTTATCAATTACTTCAGGGTAAGCTGTATAATTTATAAAAGAGAAATCATTTTATTTATATTTAATATATATTTATAAATTACACATGTATTATATAACTCTTACTATTTATATATTATTAAAATTAATCTAATATACATATATGATACTAAATTATATTGGCTTTGATCTTTCTTTTTAGAGAGATGATGATAGTATTTGTTTATGACACTGCAAGGTGTTGTAAAGAAGATGATGATCCTGCAGAAGCAGTTATGTACTTCCATCCTGCATGGGTATCTCTTACCCAAAGGTTAGCTCTAGCAGGTCAATTAATGGCAGTTAATCAATTTCTTTCAACTTCGTTTTCCAGTCCAAAATCAATTACATTACAAGGAGGAAAATTTGTACTAAAAAAATTTGGGCAGTATATACTTGTAAGTATATCTTTATTATATTCTTCTTTTCAAATAAGCATAATTAATAATAATTAATTTAAATTTATTTACAAAAATAGTTGAAAATGAATGAATTCAATTCATAATATGAAAATTATTACATAGTACAATTTCATAGTAGTAGTTATCTACTAAGGCTCTTATAATTATCAGTGTACTCTTAATGAATGAAACGTAACATTTTTTTCATTGTTTAATGTGTCACACTTCATATAAACTAATATTTACCATACAAATTTCATTGTTTATTATTTCACAGGCAGTGGGAACTGATAGAAATATTCATGATTGGATTTTGGAAAGACGTGCAAACACATTAGAATCATTATTAAAATTTTTTCATTATGATTTGAATAAGATATTAGAATCATTTAATAATGACAGAAATAAATTTACAGAGAAGCTCTATCAAATGTTCGAAACATATTTGCCAATACTTCAATACAGTGCCAATCTATTCTCCAATATTCCTATCATTAAACTTCCAAAGGTAATTAACATATGATATCAATTTTATTTTTATTTTATACAGTTTTTTTTAGATATATTATGTATGTCATATTTTTCTAGAGTGCTAGTAACATATTTTTAGAAGCAATTCAAGTTTTACAATATTGTCAAGAAACCAGTGGTATTATGGGTGGTGCACTCTTCTATAATAACAAGTAAGTTATTCAACAAATTGATAAATAAGTTGTTCCATTCTTTTTTATTTTAAAAGCTGAAAATTAATGTTTCAGGGTAGTTGCAACTCAATTAAGTGCTGAGTTGACTAAACAAATTGTAATAACTGATCCATACAGGATAAAGGTATATTAAACTCAAATATATTAATGGTATATAATACCTACATAATGTGTAAAATTATTTAAAATTAATATTAATTTATATTTTATATGCAAACATTTTCTAGGCTCCTGCAGAAAGAATATCAACAGAATTTCATCTGCCTGTTGGAGTACAGCTATTGCGAGTATATATAGAACAAAAACAATTTACGAAACTTGTACAAGAAGCGAATAATGAACGCTATTATAGTTCTTATTTAGATTCTGTTACTAAAAAAATTATACAGAGAAAGGTAAACATTTTTTGAAAATGAATTGTGATACATATTTAATAATAAAACCGTTATTTTTTTAGAACATGCCCAAGAACAGTAAAGAACTTCCTATATCTGGAATGAAACGTGATACTTCTCGCATTTTTACTGTACCTGAAGAAGGAGAATTAGATTCATCACAGTACAACGATAATAATCACTATGTACCCTCCGTTCCACTTACAGTTTACAATTCTCCAGTAAAACGTAAACAGGAAAGTAAAATAGACCGTCCTAAGTGTGTAAATCCTTTGACTCCTAGTGTTTGTTCTACACCTTTAAAAGATATTAATAGAGTACTACATGGTAACGCTGTTTTAATATGTAACACAAATGAAGATACAAATAATGAAGCAGAGGAAGAAAAAAAAGACATAAAAACAAATGTGGATGATATTCCAGATGTTGTTAAGGAAGCACTTAGATGTAAACGTTTAAATAAATTAAGGAACGTTACACCAAGAGAAAAATTAGTAAAACGAAAAGAATTTAATAAAAAAAGCTTAAGCATGCATGATTTAGAATCGTCTAATTTGTGCTCCAATCGAATATCAATAAGAACATATGGATTAGGTTTACCACAATTAAAACAAAATGTATCTCCTGAAGCTTCTCCTGAAAAGAAATACTTATATAAAAGACAGTTCCATACTATTACCGATCCATGTTATCCTGTATTTCGATGCGATGGATTACCAGTATCTCAATCCTTATACGAACAATATATATCTTCACATTATGAAGAGCTTAAAGACGATCGAAATAATACAGTTAATCGGAACGATTTTTTAACAAGTTTGACTAACAATTGTAACACAAAAAATGTAACGAACAACTGTGATACTGTGACCAGAGATAATTTAGAAAAAGCAAGTAATTCTCGTGACATAAAGTTAGATAGTAAAATAAAACAAGAAACTTATCGTAGATCGATGAGTCTCCCTTTGAAACCACTTAGTATTACTGATAACGATGATAGACGAAAATCATCATCGGAGTGTGGTAATGCATATGACTTTCTTCAAAAAAAGAAACTGGATGGTTTACAATTAACGCCTCTTATGTCTAAACTTAGTTTACTTGCTGACGAGAGAACTAGCGGCTTTTGTAGTAGAGAAACAACCCCAAGTGAATTTCGAGATTTATCTAGTTTTTCAACAGCAACAAATCAAATAATCAAGCAAAAATTAGAAGCAGTTAATAAAGAAATTGGCAGTGATGGTGAAGACGAACTTGAGGAAGACTGGATAACTACTTCTAAGGATGAAGTTTATCTTGAGAAAACGGAATTATTTCTTTGTGGACATCATAACATGGTGCTAGTATTGTTAATGGAAAATGGAACTGCCAATAATCCTGATCTTATACACTCTCTTGTAAGTATATTTTACTATTAATATACGTATATATATTATACTGTATTGTACTTTTTACAGTGGGAAACTTGTGTAAATGCATTAGGAAAACTTGAAGCAAGACTGCAACAATGTTTAGAACCTTTACCATCAAATGAAAATAAAGAATTATACAGTATTTTAAGTATTGATCCACAATGGGATACAATAAATCGTTCTGGACTCTGGGGTGTTACTGAATTAGACATTGTTTCTTGTCTTCATGATAGATTCAGACATGCCAGCAATCTCACAGATATTATTATCAGGTAATTATTTAGACATTAGATAATTTGTTTCATTTAGTATAATTTTGTATATGTTAGCTTGCTTTAGTAGATCTTTTTGCTTGGTTGAAATAATATTACTGCCAAAAATTTTCATGGAAAGAGATTGTAGTATAATTTTAGAGTATAATTTATTTTCATATATTATATGATACATTGTGAAGCATTACTTTATACATTAAACTTGGTACAAAAATGAGTATATTTTATTAATTAACTAGAACGGAAGATACTGTTGTTTATGGTAACCAGTGTGGAAACATAGAAGTATTTTATCAACAAGCAGTGGCTCCAAACACCTCTGGAGGACTTCCAACTCCTGCAGATTTAATGGGGATTGTGTCTCTTAAAGCAAAACGTAGACTGGAAAGAGACCATGGAATTGTATTGCTATAAATTATAATTATCTACAAATGCTTCCATCACAATCTCGTTCAAGATTTAATTATTTTATCCAATATTTTGCTCTTTTCTTATATCTCACAGCATGCCAAATTAAAAATATTGTACAATATTTTGTACATATTTTATCTTCATATAGCAGTAGATACATTTTTCTGATGTTTTTGATAATATTGAATAAAAATATTCTCTTTACCTTGTTACATAGTAATACAAGGGCATTAAAAGAAGGGAAAAAAACTTGATTTAGTAGTTAGCATGTAACAGTAGTTAACCTCTTATTATTATAGCAACGATTTTCAAAATATCATATATAAATATCATCTTAACATATATGCTTATAGTATTATATTTATTTAAAACGTCCACATCTTGAGTAAGAAACAATAAGTTCAAATTTTCATATCTTTCCAAAATAAAAAAAAATAAGTAAACATTCCATTAATTTAATCGACTAAGAATACTTTTACAATAAAAAGAAGTACTACATATTGATAGAAAAGAAATATTATCAAATTTTCTACACGTATTTTTGTAAGAAATATCACGCTATTGAGTATAATAATTTAAGAATTGGCTGTAATCAAAGAATTTTTATATCATTCGTATGTACCATGCATAATAAAACCGGTACCGAAACATTACTATTTTCATGATCACAAATAATATATTTTAATACGAAATGTTAAATGTTTTATTAAAAGTATTTGTTCAAGGATAAATTCACATTGATCAATTTATTTTATCATATTAGTATAAAAATAATAATATAACTTTCAAATATTGTATATTTAAAAACATCGTCAAATGCATAACATTAAATTTCTTTTTATCTTGTTAAATATGAATAATATGATGCAATAAAATTTACAATTATATTTAAATATTTGATATCATAAACATAAATGTAATAGAAATACATAGCACTTAAAAGTAGTAATTTTTATTATGTATGGTTTCAAAAATAAATAAGAATTCTTTAAAATTGTAATACAATTTTAATAGCATGATGCAATAGCTCCTTCAAGCCTAAGCTTTTAATGTCTTATATAGAAGACAAAATGATTCTAGTATTGTATTGCTGTATCCAAATTAAGTGATATTTAGCATTAAATAATTTATTTATCTATTTAAAATCATGTTATTAATTGTAAAGCAATTAATTGTTGTTTATTGCTTGACTTCTTAATAATTCAGTGTTGTATAAATGAATTTATATTGAATGTATTATAAATATATTTAGTTCTTTGTATATAAATATATGTAGGGAGCATCTAATAATTTATTTACATGATTTATAAATATTAATATGATCCTGAAATTTGTTAATATAAGTAGATCAAACTAATAACACAATTAAAAGAATATATATAACATACTAAATCAATATGTTACCAGAAAAAAATATTATAAATAATATGAATGTAATATCCAAACTACAAAATGACTTATAAAAAATTAATAATAATTAATTATTAACATCTTGCAACTATTCTTAGATATTACCCATTAAATACTTAAATTAAATTATTTTTTAAATTACTTTATTAATACATTTATAAGTTTATGTATTCTTATGTTTTAATTGTAATTCTAATTTGTATATTGAATGCAAAATCTATCTTAAGTATCTCTTTAAAATACCATTTCAAACAAAAATTTAATTATAATTCAGAATACTTCAAATGATATTTAATTATGTAATTAAAATTTATGCATTATATTGTTTATAATAAGATATATTATATAAACTTTAATAGATATCTTTTAAATTGTAGTTATAATAATTTGATCTAGTCAGCAATTGCATATTGTTGGAAGGTATGAATATACCAAATTATTTTCAAATTATATATTCAACTTACGAAACTTTGTCTAACTTGAGCAGTCCAATTGAAACTAGTCATATTCAAATATAAGTAATCACAGATAGTTCACAACATAAGATATCCAGTAAAACAAAAACAACAAAACACTGTACTGTCATATATAGAATATACCTTAATTGAATAAAAATTACAATTGAAATATGGAATATTTTAATTTGTTTTATAAATATTTATTATAATATAAAATAAAATAATTATACCAATTATGTTTTAGAGGATTTATATTCTAATGTTCTTTCTTAATATCTTAAATATATATTTATAAAATCATTGTAACGAGAAGAAAAGGTAAACTATCGAACACTATTAATCATCATAGTAGTATTTTAAATAAAAGTCCCATATAAATTGACGTATGGATATTTACTATGTATTCTGAAATCATTCCGTTGTTTTCTTGTATTGACCTCGGTAATAGCTCAAAATGAATCGAGGCGAGCCTCCTGGTTTTGCCGGTTTCTAACATGTTTATATCACGCGCTACGCACGTTCTGTCTGCTCATTTGCATTAAACAGGACTCGTGCCTAAACCAGAACTTAAGTATTGACGCACAACTTCTTATGTTTTGTCATACAAGACGGCGAGCCCCCACAAATGGAAAGTTTTACAAGAATGACATACTTTACATCTTTGCTGCTTATTATAAAATATTTTCTTGAAAATTATATTTTCTATACAATTAAAATCATGTAGTAATATATGTATATGATATTAGCAAATAATTAATTTTTATTTTACTTTTACAAATATACTAATATTTATTTTATTTAGTTATTTAAAAAACGTGTAGAAAAATTAATTTTAAATTGAAAAAATAATTTAATCCGTTTAACTTTCTTTAGTAGGTAAATATGATATTAATTAGTTTATTAAAAGTTTATAATATCTTCTCAGTAAATATAATTATGTTTTATTTATAAACTTGTATTGCAAATGCAAAATATTTAAGTGTGAGAAAACATGAACGTTTAAAATATATTTATGATATAAAAGACAATTAGTAAAATATATAAGAAATTTTGAAATTTTTAAGTATTTTAAATTGTATCTTTTTAAACGTATTTAAATAAAAATTTGGGATACTAGATTTTGAAGATATTTTAAAAATATTTTAAAATATTTTAAAATATATCATAGAGGATGATAATTTATATCTTTAACTAACGAGCTAAAGAATAAAATTAAGAAGCTAGAAATATATTTTTTTTAGTAAACAAGTTAATGGGTATTCTTTAAAGAAATGAGTTTTAAAATGATAATTTCAGAGACGAGCCCATTAAGAAAATATTAAATGATCGTAGCAATCCTGAAAAACCTGCTCACTATCGATAATATTATACGATTAATTTACATTTGACTATTTCTGAAAAAATACGACACAAACAAGCCTCCATGATCAACCAATCAGAGATCAGGATATCGTTCTCTGATTTTGACGCGCTTGTATTTAAGCAAGGTACGCTTGCGATTAAGAACTATTAAATAGAAATCATTAACTATCGCGCTTTAACTTTTCGTACAGAAAATGGTAGGAAACATAATTTTTATGAATTTATTGTATTGTATAAAGATAAAATTTTTTTATAAAAATTTTGTAATTATATTTAAATTTACTTTTATGATAAATATATTTTCAATATATAGGGTAGTGCATAAATAACAATTTTACTTTAAACTTATTACAGTATTGTGATAACACTAAATAACAATTGTATTCCTAATAATTACGTTATTTAAATTTAAAGTATTGATAGTTGAAGTAATTATGTATCTTTAGTAAATCTTATATCTATTTAATTGTGCAATGATATTAATTATTATTATCTTAATAATAAAATTTATTCATAAAAATATTGATTTCTGAATAGTATATAATCTCACATAATACATAAGTAAACTAAAAATGTTATTTTTTTTCAGACTACATATATGGATAAAGGTCCGAAGGTAACTATTAATATCCTACTTTAATTGAAAAAATAATTTATTATTACTATATAAATTTGTTCTATTTAGCCCATAGGTGGAAAATTTTTAAGTTTCCACCATCTCGTATTCTGGGTTGGAAATGCAAAACAGGTAATTAAAAAGAAATAGCACTAACTAATTTAGAACGAGAATAGCTTTATTAAATAAATTCCATGAAATGAAAATGTGTTATATTAATATGACAATTACTTTATATTTTTACTTTTATATTTCATTTTCATCTTTCAATCTCGATCATACGTAAATAAATGTTAGATATTAATTTAAAATTTGCATTTTAATTAAAATTTGTTATAATAATAGATACTATATATTCAACGTTAAAATATAATCATTCAGAATCACTAACAATTAGGAACTTTGGGATTACGTATATTTTTTCAATTTCTACAACACAGTGTGAATATCTTCAATAACCACACTTGTTCACTTCTATACTTACACAACATATTTCACTTCTAATTATAAATTTATATTTAAATACATTTGTTATTTTAGGCAGTCAGTTATTATTGCACTAGATTGGGTTTTGAACCTTTGGCTTACCGCGGTTTAGAAACTGGCTCTAGACGCATAGTATCATATGTCATCAGACAAAATCAGGTAAACATTAGAGAAATATATATTGGACAAATGTTTATCTAGTAATATTTAATAACTCAATGTGCAGAATATTTATGTAATTCCCCATCAAATTTTATTAGTTTATTATGAAGATGATACTGAGCAGAGAATATCTTACTTTTAAAACTTATATGAATTATTCTCCATGAAAATATTAATTACTTGAATGATTTTTTCTTTTCATTTAAGAAAATATCGTAGCAATCCTGAAAAACCTGCTCACTATCGATAATATTATACGATTAATTTACATTTGACTATTTCTGAAAAAATACGACACAAACAAGCCTCCATGATCAACCAATCAGAGATCAGGATATCGTTCTCTGATTTTGACGCGCTTGTATTTAAGCAAGGTACGCTTGCGATTAAGAACTATTAAATAGAAATCATTAACTATCGCGCTTTAACTTTTCGTACAGAAAATGGTAGGAAACATAATTTTTATGAATTTATTGTATTGTATAAAGATAAAATTTTTTTATAAAAATTTTGTAATTATATTTAAATTTACTTTTATGATAAATATATTTTCAATATATAGGGTAGTGCATAAATAACAATTTTACTTTAAACTTATTACAGTATTGTGATAACACTAAATAACAATTGTATTCCTAATAATTACGTTATTTAAATTTAAAGTATTGATAGTTGAAGTAATTATGTATCTTTAGTAAATCTTATATCTATTTAATTGTGCAATGATATTAATTATTATTATCTTAATAATAAAATTTATTCATAAAAATATTGATTTCTGAATAGTATATAATCTCACATAATACATAAGTAAACTAAAAATGTTATTTTTTTTCAGACTACATATATGGATAAAGGTCCGAAGGTAACTATTAATATCCTACTTTAATTGAAAAAATAATTTATTATTACTATATAAATTTGTTCTATTTAGCCCATAGGTGGAAAATTTTTAAGTTTCCACCATCTCGTATTCTGGGTTGGAAATGCAAAACAGGTAATTAAAAAGAAATAGCACTAACTAATTTAGAACGAGAATAGCTTTATTAAATAAATTCCATGAAATGAAAATGTGTTATATTAATATGACAATTACTTTATATTTTTACTTTTATATTTCATTTTCATCTTTCAATCTCGATCATACGTAAATAAATGTTAGATATTAATTTAAAATTTGCATTTTAATTAAAATTTGTTATAATAATAGATACTATATATTCAACGTTAAAATATAATCATTCAGAATCACTAACAATTAGGAACTTTGGGATTACGTATATTTTTTCAATTTCTACAACACAGTGTGAATATCTTCAATAACCACACTTGTTCACTTCTATACTTACACAACATATTTCACTTCTAATTATAAATTTATATTTAAATACATTTGTTATTTTAGGCAGTCAGTTATTATTGCACTAGATTGGGTTTTGAACCTTTGGCTTACCGCGGTTTAGAAACTGGCTCTAGACGCATAGTATCATATGTCATCAGACAAAATCAGGTAAACATTAGAGAAATATATATTGGACAAATGTTTATCTAGTAATATTTAATAACTCAATGTGCAGAATATTTATGTAATTCCCCATCAAATTTTATTAGTTTATTATGAAGATGATACTGAGCAGAGAATATCTTACTTTTAAAACTTATATGAATTATTCTCCATGAAAATATTAATTACTTGAATGATTTTTTCTTTTCATTTAAGAAAAGAAAAACCGATATTTTAAATAATATTTATAAATGTAGATAATTATTTCTTGTTTCAAGTATTATTAATAAAGTCCTATCAATAATTATAAATATATTATTTTATATTATTTAAAATAATGAAAAATATCGTTTTTTCATTTCTAGATTATTTTTGTATTTGAATCAGCTTATGAACCTGATAATGAAGAAATGGCAAGCCATCTTTCACGACACGGAGACGGTGTTCGTGATATTGCATTTAATGTTGAAAATATTGACATCATTGTACAAGTACGTTAAACTTATACATTTTTATAAATGTACAAATGAAACAAGTATAACTTTTTGTTCAGATCGCAAAAGAAAGAGGGGCAGTAATAATAAACGATATCTGGGAAGAAAGTGATGAATATGGGACTGTGAAATTTGCTACCATACATACAGTAAGTATATATGAAAAAATAAAATAATGAAATAAAAAGAGTATTTTGATAAAATATAATTATTAATTTATTTAACAGTATGGGGACACATATCATACACTAATAGACAAATCCAGTTATAAAGGATTCTTTTTACCAGGATTTCAAAAGCTTCCGGAAGACCCATTTTCAAAGAATTTGTATGTAACTTAAATCTAATCTAACACTATCAAGTATTTGATAAATTTGTTTTTATTATTTAGACCAAAAGTTGGATTAAATTTTGTGGACCACATTGTTGGTAATCAATATGATAAACAAATGGAGTCTGTCGCAAGATGGTACATAATTTGATTAAAAATTTAAGAAGTCAAAAGGACTTATGATTCTGAATATATGGTCGAGTTCTCTCCATAAAATTTATTTAATTTTAGGTATGAGCAATGTTTACAATTTCATCGATTCTGGTCAGTCGATGATACTCAACTACACACAGAATATTCAGCCCTGCGTTCTATCGTTATGGCAAATTGGGAGGAAACTATAAAAATGCCTATTAACGAACCTGCTCCTGGTAAAAAACGTTCTCAAATTCAGGAATATGTTGAATACTATGGAGGAGCAGGAGTGCAACATATTGCTCTTAATACAAATGATATAATTACAGCTGTAACTATACCTCTTAACAATTTTTCTAAATTTAGATAAGATCTAGTTTAAGAATTAAAAATTTCTATTATTTTATAGATACAAAATCTACGAGCTAGAGGAGTAGAGTTCCTGGATGTTCCAGACACTTACTATAATATGTTAAAAAATCATTTAAAGACCAAAGGTGTACAAATTTTAGAAGATCTTAATATACTTCAGGTAGAACTAGAAAATGAAAGATTGTAGGATAAATTTACTAAGGACCCATTAATTTTTATTTCTAAATATATTTCCAGAAATTAAAAATTTTAATTGACTATGATGAAAATGGGTACCTCTTACAAATATTTACTAAAAACATGCAAGATCGACCAACACTCTTTGTAGAAATCATTCAAAGGCACAATCATAATGTAGGGTATTATAATGGTCATTAAATTTTCTATAAACTTTTTAAAAACGAGATTAACAAAATTATTTTTGTTACAGGGATTTGGAGCTGGAAATTTTCAAGCATTGTTTGAAGCTATTGAAATGGAACAAGCTAAACGTGGCAATTTGTAAAAAATATGGATTCTTATAATTAAAAAAAAATATAGATTCTTAACAGTTGTATTGATTAAAATAAAATATAATTATATATAGCCATTTTATTCTTTAAATTTACGCTCCCAATTTCTATTAAAATTAAAATCTCTGCATTGCAAGTTATAAAATAGAAACTACCATCAAATTATTAATTCCAAATGTTGTATTTAATGGCCAATATTTGTTTTACAAAAATACACACAGTATGAAGGAATAAAATACGTAACAATACAATTTGAAATGTAATACTCAACCATTAAAATCAAACATTATATGGTGCTCTATTATATTGTGACATTATATTATAAACGTGTAACCAACAACAGGTGTTCTTAAAAAAAGAGGAAAACAAGAAAATGATTAAACTGTATTTATTTTTAATGCTCTTTTTTTGCTTTGTGGCCAAGATATAAGCAAATGTTTTTCATATAAAAACTGCAGTATCTAGAAAGAATGGAATAATATGTGATGACAAAGGATATTAAGGAGAAAAGTAGCTCACTTATTTTAATCTCTGGGGAGTCCATGGCTCAGATACCTGTCTGCTATTAAATGGGGTAAATTTGCAGACTTTTGTCTTCATACACTATCATGAATGCCAAGACGAAAAATGTCATGCTGACAGAAAAATGAATTCCCCAGTGGCTTCAACACAAAAATCTGTGAGAAGGCATGTGGTGGATCTTCATCTGCCTGCAACAAATTAGAAATATATTACACCTACATATATTATTATTCTATACATAAATATATAAAAAGATATATCAAATATTAAAATTTTTAATATTTTATTACTTATATATCTTTCAAAAATCAATTTTAATAGACGTTAGTATAAAAAATGAACTTATATGTAAAAATATATTGATGTCGGATTAAACTGCTATGAAGGTGAAGTATTTTTAAATACCATTAATAGTAATGTTAACACCCACGCAAAAATTGTGCAAATGCTTTAAAGATAGTAATAAAAATAAAAGAATATGCAATACAATGATAAACTTACCATATAATAAAATTTTTGTGTAAAAGAATTATTTTATATTTTTTCTGTAACTATGCTAAGATATTCTACATTATTATACATAATTTTGATTATTATAAGAATTAATTACTCTAAATTTGGCATAATTAAATTTAAAAAATATACATATAATAATCATTGCAACATAAAAGAATATTAGCATATTACTGTAAGTTACAAAAAAGATAAAATTAAATTTAATTATTTTTATTTTCATATATTGTTATTTATTATTCTATATAGTTTTTTAAACTATTATTTTATTGATACAGAAAATGTGAATTACTTATTATTGGCATAAATTATTATTAAATAGCATATTTTATTTAGCATTAAACTTTTATTAAAATAGAAAAAATAAACTTTATTCCGGTCAGTTCAGCAATTTAAAATTTTTTTTATCATTACCTTCATTAAATAGTTTACCAAAGCATAATTAATTAAATATTACATGCAAATATTGAATTAATAAAATTAGAAATTTATAACTATAGAATTTATAACTATAATAAATTTTAAAATGCAGCAGATGTTTTTGCTATTATAAAGTTACTTTAAAATCTTAAATTCACTAAACCATTACATATTAATATTAGTGAGTGCAAAAATTGTTTTTCAGATCACTGATTACAGCAAATACAAAAGCAATTGCAAATAATACATAATTAAATTAGAATTAATAATAAGGAGGCATACTGACAAACATGACGTAGCTTTAAACACTAAAAATTAGTATCGGGCTTGCCTGTACCATGGTACGAAGATCAATGGATAGCAATACCTGACGCCTAAACCGTGTTATGTAGAGCAAGTCTGAAGATGTCATGCTGCACGTAAAAGCTGGTGCCAATTGGCTTCAGGACAAATGTCTGGATGTATGCATGGGGCTGATCCTCATCAGTCTGCCCAATCATCAACAATCACTGACTCAATTTTCTTATTTCATCTTCTTTGCGGAGGTATATAGAGAGATTGTTGCTGGACATTAGTCATAGCTCAATCTCTATCTTCATATGGCAGCACAAAAAATGTAAGGCAGTACAGTACACATTTGTGTAGCATGTCCAGCCAATAAAATATAATATATGGACGAATAGAGGTATAAACGCATTAAAGAATTTAAAATACAACAAAAAAAAAAAAAAAAAAAAAAAAAAAAAAAAAAAAAAAAAAAAAAAAAAAAAATAAAAATAAAAAGAAAAAGAAGAATACTGAGCCAAATGTATTCCTTTGCGTAGAAAATGCATTGTATTGCGTAATAAACAGATAATAGAAGAAGTTAAATTACTGAACTAATTGGAATAAGATCTCTGCACATATTGAATTATAAAATTCTTTCTTATATATTAACTTTTGCTACACATGAATATTATAACTCTGTATAATTTTATATGAAAATCCCTATCTATTTAGTCTTATTGTGATTATAATATGGAAAAAGCTATTTTTCTTACCTGCAACCTTCCTAAAACATTAATGAGTACGCCACCATCAAACATTGGTTGTGAATCAATAGCAGTTATTATCCGATTTATTTTTTGAAATGTTAAACTCTAAAAATTAAAAACTTGTAATTAATATAGAAAAAGATCATAAAATTATACTTATTCTTTCTTAATTTCATAATGTTTTTATAAAATATATAGAATCTATATATACCATGTAAAATATATTTAAAAAAATGATATCTATAGTATATTGAAACTAATATATAATATCTTTCTTTTACAAAATACTTACACTTAACTTTTCCATAATTTTAATAGCACCTTGTATTTGCAAACCCTCAAATGTCATAAAAGATGACTCGGTCTGTGAACACAATATCGAATAAATATGCAGGAAAGAAAAAATTACAATAAATAAGTGTAATAGTAAACAATCAAAACTTACATTATACATATTTATTAAATTTGGTCTTTGAGCAGGGTCGTCAAACATCGCATAATACTGTTGTACGAAACCCTTCCCGATTACTTCATATTGGGGGTTTAATGCCATTACGCTAACTTATTATGTTCACACTCACTATACGATATCAATAATATCAGTCTTTTCAAATGGTTCAATCGGTCGACAATTTATATTTAAAAAAAGTTCTACGATAAGAGTAAAATAATGCCTATTAACATCCCTCGTGCAAGACACAAGCGACCAGGAAGCTACTTATGCCGACCAATCATTTCGATGTATCGAGAAAATCATCGGGATTATTCTCGAACTCTCGAAAAGTTTAGATATTTGGTAACGATTGTACCCGGTTTTGCACAAACAATGTTGTTTCTGATTCGTTATTTGAATTGAAAATATACAGAACTAGTTTGTTGTTCTTCCAACAGTTATATGATATATATTGAAAGAAATAAATAAAGACCTTTATATCGAAACTATGTGATGGACAAAACCGATCTGAACGAAAATTCCCTGTCACGAAATAATTTTGTCGAACTTCATTCAAACTGTGACATAGGATTGGTTATCATTAGACATTGCCGGATGTTCAGTGATACGACATCTATAGGTTGAATTTTGAAAATCGAACGAGTGAACTATTGAAAGTTAGGTTAACTTCCTTTTTTCCGGTGTGAGAAACCGTGAGGTGTGTGATGTTTGTCATTACAGAAACTCATCCAAAAACATCGAAAAATAGAAAAATAATTTATTTATATATATAACATTGTTTTTATTAATGTGTATTCTGGAATTTTTGATATACTAATCATTTCTTTAATTTTAGAAATTTAATAATACTTTTTGGAGTATGTTGATAAACATTTTTAATTTTGTTTATATTAAACTAAAGTAAAAGTTTGAGTAATTGTTTAAATTTTACATATTTTAAAAAATAGTTTTTTTTATATAAATTTATGTATTAATTTCTGAAATAGTTGTGTTATGGAAAAGGTTATGTGTTATTAAGTACAGTATTGCAACTGGCAATCTAATGTATATACTAAAAAAAGGTTTTATTAACAAGAAAACTAATAATTAATGTAGAATAAATTATTGCATACTTTGTACATTAAATAACATTCAATTTTTAAACTAATAAATAATTTTTTTTCATAGACATATCTTCAAGATGGTGAAGATTATGAAAACAGGAAAAGTTGTATTGGTTCTTAGTGGCCGATATGCTGGAAGGAAAGCTATCATTATGCGAAATTATGATGATGGTACTGCAGAAAAACAATATGGCCATGCAATGGTAGCAGGTATTGATAGATATCCACGTAAAGTACACAAAAGAATGGGCAAAGCAAAGATTCACAAACGGTCCAAAATTAAACCATTTGTGAAAGTAAGTTTTCTAGGTGATTACTTAAAATGTTTTAATATTTAAATAACATTTAATTATTAATATCATTAACTTTATGTAATTAATGATTGTGTGTATATAATTATTTCTTTTTTAATATTATGTTATTTTATGTAAATGTGTTTATAAATTACAGGTATTAAATTATAATCATTTGATGCCAACAAGATACACTGTAGATATGCATTGGGAAAAAGTAGTACCCAAAGACCTTAAAGATGCAATGAAACGCAAAAAGATTCGATTCCAAACACGTGTTAAACTTGAAGAAAAGTATGTATATTTATAATTGCTATATAATATATATATTTGCATTATGTATATTTTACAAGTATTTTAAAATTGTTTTTGAGATTATTTAATAAATAGGCAAGTGATATTAATACTTATTTTTAGGTACAAATCTGGTAAAAACAAATGGTTCTTCCAAAAATTACGATTCTAATTAAATTTAAATAAATATAAAATCTACAAGTATTTTAAGTATTTTAAGTTAATAATATTTCCCATTTACTTTCCCATTCCACAATAAAAGAAACAACTCTTTGTTTTTTAGTATATATATATATATATTCGATAAGCACAAGTCTAGTTTATTTTTAAATTGTAATATTTATACATTAACGAATGCTTAATGTTACAAAAATTCACTCATTTATAACATTTAAAATATATTCAAAAATATAATTGAAATTGACAAAAATATTTTTAAAATATAATATACAATGAGATATACTAAATTATAAATAATTTAAAAATGCATTAAAAAAATACTAATAACATAATTTAATAAATATATATTTTGAAAAAGTTAAAGTACTATAATTTGTAACAAAAATTTTATCATTCATATTCTTATGAATTATCATTTGCTAAGCTTCTTAGTACGTTCATCTAATGATTCTATGTTATTTTTTATAATTTCTAAATTTGATGCAAAGCTTTCCTGTACTCCTTTTAAGAGAGACTTGTTACTCTCCAAATCCGAAGTTATTTGTGATTGTAATTCTTCTAAACGCATAAGGGATTTGTTGAATGTAGCAGCTAGAACAAAATATATTAGATTACACTGCTTTAAAAAAAAAAAAAAAATATATATATATAAAACTTTTTAAACGTATTTAGATATGTACCTTGCTGATGAATAGTATTTAAAGCCAACATTCGATTTACAGTTTGAGGTAAAATTTGTGACATACTTTCTGTCTGTTTTATAATATCATACATTTCTGAAATCTGAAAGCAAAATTCGATTTAAATAAATGTTATTTAATTAAATATATATTTAATTATTCATAAAAAAATAACTTACTTTTTGCTCTTGTTCTGAATCTAATGCAGTCTTTTTCTGGGCAATACTATCCATTTTATGAAGTAACGCAGATAATCGGCTTTCGACTATATTTAGCTGGTATATATCTAATAATGCAGCTTTTGCTCCTAGTTCTTGAAGAGTTTCCATTACTCCTTGACCTTTGAGATTCTATGAAAGAATTTATTATTATTAGAAGCATATTATCAATGTGATAAATTATCACAATTATCTAAATACTAATTGACTTGTACTTGTGAAAATTTAGAAAGTTTATCACTTGTTGTTCCAATAACACTTTCTAAGTTACAAAGCCTTTGTTCAAGTAATGCAATTCTTGCTGCTTCTTGCATTCTTGCTTTTTCTGGAAGATACATTATCTGATATTTGAGTACACCAGGTTCAGCTGTTTTATCATCTTTTGTAACCTGTGTCTTTGAATCAGTTTCAGAGGTAAGAGTACTAGTTTGTTTGAATGCTTCTATTTGCGATATCAGTTGTCTAAAATATTCATTAATAAAAGAAAAGTTTTCATTTTAAATACTTTAGTATAATGTAAATGAACTTACTTCATTCTTGTGCCTTGTGGATCTAATAGTGTTGCTACAAGATCAGGTCCAAGACTTTCTTCTAATTTTAAAGAATCTAATTGCTTTCCTAAGAGTTGTACTTGGGAAATTATATCAGCAACAGATTTTACTTCTTCATCTTTTGCTTTTTCCTATTACACAGGCAGAAACAATAAAAAATATATTTTTATGTTTCAAAGAAAAAAGTAAATCATAAAATACATTTTAAATATAATAAAATAAGTGGTACCTTTAAATCATTTACTTCTTCATATAATTCTTTAATCTCACATTGTAAGCGATGATATTTTTGAATAGGAGTTTCTTTCTCTCCCTCTCCAGGTAATTCCCAATCTCCAAATCTAAAATTTACAAAATTTTGCAAAATGTATAACTTACAATTATTTATTGAAAAAATTTACTTATAGCCAGTCCTTGGTTTGATTGATACTCGATCTGAAAAATCAACTCCCTTGCTGATGACATGTTTACTTTTAAATTTATTAAATGCTTCTGTAGCACTAATATGTAACTTTTCTATAGAATCAGTTTCGTCCTAAAAACAAAAATATTACTATTAATAAATAAGATTATATTATATATAGTATTATAAATAATATTCAATATTATACCTCTGGGTAAAGTTGAAATTGTTCTGATTCTGGTAAATCAGTAGTCTCATAAACATCAGCTTGATCATATGCCTATAGATACAATGAAAAATATTAAACATTTATTTATATAAGATACAAAACAACAGATAGGGTTATATACAATTATATCAAGTTTTCATTTTACTGAAATTCTAAATTTTATGTATAGATTGTGATTTTATTTTAAACTTAATTATGTTTAATAATAAAATGATACTAATATAATTTTGATATAACATATGAAGTACTTACAATTCCAGGTAAATCGGCATATTTGGGATCAGCCATTTTTCGTGATTAAATTAAAAACGATTATTAATGTTTAAACTATTTTTAAGAATGCAAGAAATCTTGTTTTTTAGCAATGACTAATAATATAGCAATATTGGAACAAAGCACTAATATCTTAGTTAAATATATTGCAAATTATCACTGAGCACTTAGTTCTAAATTATTTTTACGTCCACACGACTTTCACGATACCTTCCAGCAAGTACCAACACTATGTCAAAAAGTGGCAATTTTAAATAGTGGTACATTTTAAATATGAAAACATTTTATTCTAATAGTAATAACGTAAAAATTATGGGTAATAATAATAAGAAGAAAAATATACACTACGTTTTTAATCCCTGTTTCTTTAAAAATATTGATTAGTTTAATCGTTATATATTTTTATGTATTGATCATACATTAGAGGAAAAAAGAACGAAATATAGAATATATTAATTTTGTTTTAATAATATATATTGTTTTTTAATACTTTACTTAAATTTATAAGGTTATATAAAAATATAATATAAGGCATAGAAATATATTTAAATATTTTATTGATAGTGATAATATAAATAAACTTATATAAATAAATTTTTTAATATTTTTAAAATATATTTAATCTTTTTAATTTTGATAAAGATAAAAAAAGTCATATAAACTGTAATTAATATTTTGTGATAGCTATATATGTATATGTACATTATTATTTTTGAAAACAGTAATATTTTTAAGTTTCAACAATTTTTTTTCTATAGTTAACAATATTTAATATTTATAAGTAAATGATATTAATAATATTAACAATATTTATAAGTAAATTTTTGTATGTGATAACATTTATAGATTGATTGGTTGTGATAACATTTATTTTATTATTCAGAATAAATATACATTTCCATTTGTGATTTATCTATACATTGCTGTTACCAATTAATACGAGACTATGTAAAGACTTTCAATTTAATACTGATTTTTTATGTAACGTACATTTAATTAGTAAAATAATGCAATCAATAATGAAAAAATTAATTTATAACACATCTATTGTAAATTTTTGATACCTTTCAACTTTCTCAAAATGAATAAAAGAAGTAATACGATTGAAGTACTAATACATGTATATATAAATGAAATTAAGAAGTAAATACAAACAAAATATAAAAATACTATTAAATGTTTATGAAAAGACTGTATATTTTAAGTGGTAAAATGAAATAAGAAATGAATAGTGATATTCTTCTGAATATGCAGCCTTATACAATAATTTTTCAATCTCATAGACAATCTAAATTTGATTTTTTAAATGAAGTAAAGTTTGTAGATGCTATTAAGGATATTGTAAATTGTCTATGTGTAGAACCAAGACCAGTTGGAATTTTAATTAGAAATGACAGAGATATGGTGGAAGATTATAATTTACTTTTAAATTTGTATTTATTTTTGATACTATATACAAATTTACATTATTTTATTCTTTTCAAGGTTTTACTCGCTAATTAATTTATGCACATTTTATATTCATTTTAATTTTTATAGCACTTGAAAATAGTAAGAACACAATAAAGGACACTAAATCTTCCTTATTTATTTTGTTCTTAGATAAAAATATACAAAAAACAAATAATAGATATGTATTGTCATTTACAAATGTAATAAATTTAATTGATATCTTAAGTACCTTATAAATCTGCATCTTTTATGTGTTATGGTCCAGTTGTCCCAAAAGGCTATGGATGTTGTTATAATCCGAGATCAACAGATATTCTCATTGCTTGTTGTTCTTTCAAGTCATGCACAAATATCAATTCAAAAAAGTTTATAAATATTTTAATAGAAGTATTGCATGACATGAAAGAATTAAGAATTAAGAATTACCTACTCAATAATGTTATATAATTGTTAAAATTTATATACTTGTACTTTCATAAATCACCCTGTAAATCATCCCTATTTTGTAAGTTAAAATTTAATATTTAACAAATAAGATATTTAAATATTTAAAAAAATTTAATTTTGTATGCTCTTAGAATATAATAAAAAATAATATATATATGAAATTATATTTTACTACTTTAAAGTAGTAAATATACATATAATTCATATATAAAAAATAAATCACATAAAATTCTATAATAATTTAAATTAAGTCCTATTTTATTAATTATGAAGTTAGGAGAAATAAACGAATATACTTAAAAATTACGTTCTTATAATTCTTCATGTGTAATAGAAGATGAGGATCTCTCTGAGGGAAAACCCCAAAAGAATGTTGGATATCCTTTGATTTCCCGTTCTCTTGCAACAAAAGCTGAAAAGGAAGATATACAATTTCCTATAAAATAATTTGCTCGTCCAAGAATAGCTAAATCTAAATGAGGTGATGCAGGTGAATCTTGTTTAAAAACTGGAACCTGTAATAAATATTAAATATTTATAAAAATAATGTCTATAAAAATATTTTTAAATATTGTTTTAAACATACTGTTACAAATATATAAATATATAAAATATATTAATTAATTTCTTACTTCCATTCGTGCTAAAGCTTTAGTAAGTTCTTTAATCATGTAATTATTATCCGATGCTACAAATACTGATTTGATATTGTTGCCATTACGGATAACTCGTTTTAAATGACGTACTATTAAGTCAAATGATGGTAGACACATAGCAGAAGTTGCTTTCCCACGTTCATTTCGATATCCAAGACATTGTGGAGCAGCAAAGAGATTTGGTGCACTGGATATAAATTCACAAGCACGAATCTATAAGAAAAACAACATATTTTCAAATCTTTCAAATATATTAAAATGTAATTTAAATATCTGTAAAAATAGATATGTACCCAATCAATTCCATTACGTAAATGAATTCCCACAAATGCTCCCCTTGGTAATTTTTGTTTTATAAATGTTGTTGCTTTATTAAGCATATCTGTATTCCATTCAATGTATTTATGTAATCTTTTATTTTCCAATTGTACAGGAAAACTAGCAGGTGCACCTGTAAATGCTAATACTGGCCAATTTAATGCAGGATACTGTTTTTTCCATTGCATTGCCATATCCGTATGATAAACGTCATAATGAAGTGGACCATAAAATTCAGATTTTACAAAATCTACATTATATGTATCCCAAAATGAACCAAATGGGTTTCCATCTTTTGCATTACATGAATCTCCTTTGCCACGGGCAGAATAACAAAAAGCTGAAAGGGCCAATATGTTTGAAAAGAACATTTTGTTTCTGGATTTAACATTTAAAACTTACATACTCTTTCCTTAGATTGCCATATTTTTGGTGCAATATCTTGCATAAAACCCTCCATTAATATTGCTTTATGATAATTTTGAACTTGTGAAACATTAAAATATGTATCAAATGGAACTTGTATCTAAAAAATTATAAATTTAGATACAAAAATATTCATATTTTAAAAAAATATTAAATATTATTCTTTACAAACAGATCTAGTTTCTCCTATTCTGTACTCAACCCATGGTGGTAAAATTAAAGTACGATTTAATGCTTTTGCAAATCCTAAAGCACCTAAAAAGTGATCTGCTTGATTTCCAAATCGTCCTAAAAGTTATAATAGAATTGATAATTTTAATGAATTTTTTTTACGTTATATTTATATAATTATTTATATATATATCATGAAATCTTACCCATACAAGGACAATAAACAATATACCCATTTGTATCAATATCAAAATCTTCACAATATGTGCTATAAAATTTGGTTAATAGTAAAATAAAAATAATACTGAACATTGCAGTGATGTTTTTTAAATTTATCTTACTTAGTTATGAATAACCTAAATAAAATATGACGGGTTAGGAATACAATACACAAGTCAATCTAAAATATTTCCGCTTTTATACATTAGCATTACTATGGATACGTGCATTGATTACTGTAAATGTAGAAACGCAATCCAAACTAAACGAAGAATAAATTAAAAATAAAATAGGGACATTGTATGTTTTTCCTAAGATTAGTCGTATCTTATTTAACAAAATAATTTCTTTTTTCTTTTAATTTAAATTAATTAGGTCGAATTTTTATTAAAATAATATATTATTTTAATTCTTAATATATTCATATTATTTGAAAAATTTGAATATTTGATGATTTATAAATATCTTAAATAAGGGAGATATAGAATCAGTATTACATTTTCCAAATTTATATATCAGAAAATTGCAAATTTGACATTAAAATATAATAATCAGTACTCGTTTAAAATATATTTATAATAATATTTTATTGTAATTAAAAAATTACATATACTTAATGAAGATATTAGTATTGTTTCAAATCAAAGTTTAAAACAATAATTTATGGGTATATGTATTTAGTATGGAAAAATTGAAAAGACATGAAATATTTAGCTTATAATTATTTTATATTTATAAAACTTTTTATGTACAAAAATGTACTATAAGCCCATTAATACAGTACTAGCAGTAATGGGAATTTGTGAAGGTGCACTAGCTTGCCTCACACTCATTTCCCAAGTGTCTAATAACTGAGATACAGAAAAACGTCGAGGAAGTTTTGTGATACGCGCATTTAAAGCTTTCTGAACTGCACAAAGAAATGTTGTGGCATATTCATGTGGTGCCATTACGCAACGAGGAGGCGTCAATGGATAATCA